CCACAGCATCCAGCTCGAACTGCCTAAGTGCCACTCCCCCTCTCCGGGCGGGCACCTGCCTCCCCCGCCCTTGTGAGTGACAACCGCTACACTCACCGAAGGATCAGTCACTGGTCTCGGACGAGGCCCAGGAGACATTCCAGTTGCTGGGCACTGGCTTCAGGTGGAGGGTGATGGTGGGCGGTCCTCTCCCTCGTCCTCGGAGGTGGTGGTCAGGTCTCCCTGCTCCTCCAGGTCAGACGGCCTGACCACCGGAGTGCGCAGTCCAGTGTCCATCATGGGAGAGGGCCCTTCCACCACCATCTCCCCCAGGATGGCGTGCAGGCACTCAGAGTGGGAGTAGGTGTCGGCTCCTGCCCCCCTGCCCTCACTGGCTTTCACATAGGCCAGGCGCAGCTCCTTAACTTTGGCCTGGACCTGTTCCAGGATCCAGGCCGGTGGCCCTGCTTGGCCAGCACCTGGGCCATGCGGTCAAAGATGTTGGCGTTGCAGCACTGGGCCTGGGGGTCATGGAGGGCTTCCTCCTATCCCCACAGGTGCAGGAGGGCCTCCATCTCAGCCCCAGACCAGCATGGGGCACACCACTTGCTGCCCCTCCATGGCTGCTGGGAGCCCTGGGGTGGCTCCTGGGGTGGGGGTCCCAGGGGCAGACATGCCTGCAGAGCTGGGGTGAATGCAGAGCCATGCAATGGAGCTGTGCTGGCTGGGGGCCTGGCCTTTAAGGGGGTGGGGGGTCCAGCAAGCTGTGAGTGGGGGTATGGAGCATCCAAGCAGCCACCTGCATTTTTTCCTGGAGGCCAGTTCTTGCGCAAAAACTCCCTGCAGCCCGTCCAAACTGCCTTCTTGCACAAGAAGGCTTATTCCTCGTATGAAGCACTACAGGTTTTGCTCAAGAAGCCCTCTCTTCCGACACTTTACTGTAAATTTTCTTGAGCAAGAACACGCGTGCAGTGTGGACGCGCTGAAAGTTTTTGCACAGGAATGGCCGTTCTTACACAGGAAGCCTGCAGTGTAGACATAGCCCAGAGTAAAATCTTGGGCCTATTAAAGTCAAGGAATGTTTTACCATTGACTTCACTGGGAGCTGGATTTCACCTTAGAATGTTATTGTCTTTTAGTGTCTGTTATTACTAGAACCCTCCCCTGTCTGAGGAATCTTTGTGCACATGGAGGAGACTTATTTCTACTCAATACTTCCCTGGAAAAAAGGCTGGTCTTGCTGGGCATTTCCTGTGTGAATATGTGCAAGTCAGTTAGGGATTCTTCTTGCTCCCATTAAAAGTCAATGGGAGTTTTGCCAGCAGTTTAAAAAAACCCCAGCAGGATGGTTAACCCCTTTGTTTGGGTTTTTCAAAGGAGCATATTTTATTAACCATTAAATGAGGATAATAATCTCCATTCCATATGGCTGTTAGGGAACTTAACTCATCACAAAAGCACTTGAACATCCATAGGCTGTCAGCAATATATGGGTATGTCTACACTACAAACTTAGTTCGAACTAACGGACGTTAGTTCGAACTAACTTTCATAGGCGCTACACTAACGCTCCGTTAGTTTGAACTTAATTCGAACTAACGGAGCGCTTAGTTCGAACTAGGTAAACCTCATTTTACGAGGACTAACGCCTAGTTCGAACTAGCTAGTTCGAACTAAGGGCTGTGTAGCCCTTTAGTTCGAACTAGTGGGAGGCTAGCCCTCCCCAGGTTTCCCTGGTGGCCACTCTGGCCAACACCAGGGAAACTCTATGCCCCCCTCCCGGCCCCGGACCCCTTAAAGGGGCACGGGCTGGCTACGGTGCCCGTGCCAGGTGCAAGCCTGCCAGCACCCAGCTAGCAGACCCTGCACCTGGCACGGCACTAGAGTAATTTGAATTACTGCCCTGGACCGCAAGAGGAGGGCACCTTCCTGGGCTAGTGAGGACATCGTGGACCTCGTCCACGATCTCCGCACTAGGCACAGGAAAGTGGCCGTCTAGGGCAGGAGAGCTGCCAGCCTGGCCACCCAGGAGCAGGTGTGCATGAAAATCAAGGGGGTCCACTGAGACCCCCGACCCTGAGCCCTGAGCTTACAATGGCCGTCCTGGGTCAGACCAAAGGTCCATCTAGCCCAGTAGCCTGTCTGCCGACAGCGGCCAACCCTAGGGACCCTGGAGGGGATGGACCGAAGACAGTGACCAAGCCATTTGTCTCGTGCCATCCCTCTCCAGCCTTCCACAAACTTTGGGCAGGGACACCACTCCTACCCTCTGGCTAATAGGACTCCATGGACCCAACCTCCATCACTTTATCTCACTTCCCTTTAAACTCTGTTCTAGTTGTAGCCTTCACAGCCTCCTGCAGCAAGGAGTTCCACAGGTTAACTATTTGCTTTGTCAAGAACAACAACTTTCTCTTACTAGTTTCAAGCCTGCTACCCATTCCTTTCCTTTGGTGTCCTCTAGTCCTTCTTTATGGGAACTCAGGAAGAACTTTTCTGAATGCACCCTCTCCACCCAACCCCTGCTTTTAGAGACCTCTATCCTGTCCCCTCTCCGTCTCCTCTTTTCTAAGCTGAACAGTCCCAGTCTCTGTAGCCTTTCTTCATCTGGGACCTGTTCCCAACCCCTGATCATGTTAGTTGCCCTCCCCTCTCCCAGCCTTTCTCTTCCCCTCTCCCACCTCCTTTTCCCAGTTTCCCCTAGTTTTGTTCAATAAAGACAGAGTCAATGTTGGAAGAAACGTTATCTTTATTTTGTACATCAATAAGAAGGAGGGCTAGGGAAGGGTAAGTGGAAGGAGGTGAGGGAGGAATGGGGTACGAGCCCCCGATGGGGACGACTGGGCTGGCTCTGCGGGCTTCTGGGGGTGGAAGCTCTCCTGCAGCCCCCCAATTGCCCCCTCTCCCCAGATGGCAGCCTGCGGCAAGTGCAGCCGGGCTGATGGCCGAGTGCTGTGATGTGCCCAGTGTGGGTACTCCGGGCACTCCAAGCCAGAACTTCTTTGCAAGCGGGGCACCCCTTAGAACTGTGTGTCCGGGGTGGGGGTCGGGACCCTTTAAGCGCAGCCCTCGGCTAGCCTGAGACAGCATCTCCATGCTCTAAGTCCTCCTTTTATGCCCTGCCGGCACTGCTTCCGGCCATCCTTAAGCCCTGTTCAGAGTCCACTCAATGTGGACTTGCTAGTTCGAATTAGCAAAACGCTAGTTCGAACTAGTTTTTACTTCTAGATGCGTTAGCTCGAATTAGCTTAGTTCGAATTAACTAATTCGAACTAAGTTAGTTCGAACTAGCACTGTAGTGTAGACGTACCCTATGAGTGTAAAATATCAATATATATGTTTCTGATTTAGTAAATAATGATGCCAAGTACACTTTAAAAGGATGGGAAAACAATCTGTTTCTCAGTATTATTAGTACTTCCAAACAAATGGAGATGAATTTCACTATAAAACTAATTTTTGATGCTTTTTTGAATTATTTTAATTCTGAAGACACATTTTATTTTCTCAGTCACTCAATTACCACCAACAGGTGTTGTTCTGGTATTGTTTCATAGCATAATTTAGTATTCATTATGAGTACGTGTAAATACATTTTCCTGTTATCATGTGATAAACCTGTTTTCACAATTATACAAAATATAAAATTGAAATGACAATATTTCATCCAGAAAAAGAAATATGCAGCCAGATATTATTGAAAAGAGCAATGACAGTGAAATGTGATGTGAGTAGCTCTATTCAGTTCCGGATAGGTTTTCACTCTGTAAATAAATTCATTGTCGAGCAGTCAAGCCGGAAGATTTTACAGCTCACAATCACTTTCATTGCTTTTCGAAACCACGGATAAAAGAGAGAGTAAATCAAAGGATTAATGGCAGAGTTGGAATAAGTAACCCAAACCATAATGTCAAAGACAAGGGGTGGAGTTATAAAGTTAAGAAAAGCATCAATTATTACAGTTATAAAATAAGGTGACCAGAATATCAAAAAAGCTATCACAGCTATGCCCAGAGTTTTAGCAGCTTTCCTCTCTCTTTTGGCAACTCTGTCACTGTAATTTTCAAATGACTGGGTATTGTTGTTCATAATCTCTATCATTCTAGCTTGTCGTTTAGCCACAGCAAAGATCCTGTGGTAAAGAACTATCATTGTAAAAAAAGGTATAAAATAAAGTAGAGAGGATACAACCACCCATGTTTTGTTGAAGACAAGCTGACAGCTCCCTACACAGGAGAGTGCATTTTCTAATTCTCGTATCCCTTTGTCATTAGCCCCAGAGAAGACAACAGAAAAACTGTATGTTAAAGAAAATATCCATGCAGCAGCTATGAACATTCCTGAAACAGGCACTGTGAACTTAATTGGGTAAATCAAAGGATCAGTAACAGCAACATATCGATCAATAGAGATGAAACACAAGTGAAATATTGATGAATAACAAAAAGATGCATCTAAACAACTGTGGAATCTACAGAATGTTTCTCCAAAATACCAACATGTTTCAATAGATCTTATACTGCTGAAGGGCAGCACAGTCAGACCCAAACAAAAATCCGCACATGCCAAGGAGGCTATCAAAAAATTTGCAGGAGTGTGAAGCTGTTTGAAATAAGCAATTGAAATGATTACCATGAGGTTTCCACCTAGTGTAAGAATTGTCAGCAAACCAAGCACACCATATAAAGTTATTCGGATTCCAGAAGACCATGATGTTTTATAGCAAGATCCATTAATGTTCTCAAAGCAGTATTGTACTTCATCGTTTGGAAGAAGTGCTGAAGTCATGTTGTGCTTTTGTAGTTAACTACCCCGGTCTGTTTAATATTTGCATTTGTATACTAACACTGGTCTAACCCCTTCCAATTTTAAGTCTGTCTGAAAAAGAGAATTAAAGTTGACATGAGTCAGAGTACAATAATTCCAAAGTGTTGCATTATATCTACTAGTACACTGAAAACGTTAACTAAATTGGTCATAAATACTAGAATATAGCAAAATATCTGTTATTAATACAGCTTTCAATGGCATTTTTAAATAAGCAAACAAGTAGCAAAAAATCTTTATTACTGAAAAGTGTCTCCTCTCTCATAATATAGAATTTATTTTTACCTGTTCCTTTTTATTTGTTTAAATTTCCTTGATGTTTGATCTTTCTATTTAATTCAGTTGCAAAACTACCATGACTTCCCTGCAGTTGGAAAAGGTCTGCATGCCTTATCTTTTCAGAAGCATTTCTTCTGATACCAACCTGGATTAAAATGTGGACAGCAGGCAGGAAGAGATGCGTACTTTCAGTAGTTCTTTATCTTCAGACTTGTATTAGCTTGAACATTTTCCCCTCAGAAATGAGGGGTGGAGTGAGGGGAAAAACAGCAAACACAAGGGAAATTTAGTAATCATCCCAGAAAGTGAATTCTCCCTGGTAAAGGATGTAATCACTGACAGGTGCATAGAGTCTGAAAAACATCATAAAGCAAACTATTTTGATTCATCACGAGACAGTCGTTTTCTTGTGACTATTTAGTCTTTAAGATTCTACTAGACTGTTGTTTTTTAATTTTTTCCTGTTAACAGACTCGCTCGACTATCCTTCTGAAGCTTATCTACTCACCGTCTTTTTTTCTTCCTCACCTTCTTTCCCTCCACCCACCACCTCCTTCCCTTATTTATTCTTCGATCTGGACTTCCAACACTCTAGTCATCTGAAGAAGTGGGTTGTGCCCATGAAAGCTCATGATACCATCTACATGTTTTGTTAGTCTTTAAAGTGCTACTAGAATATTTGTTGTTTTTTAAATTTTTCCTGTTACAGACTAACTCACCTACCCCTCTGAAGCTTTTGTAACTATATACAGTCATGCATATGTTTGAGCTAGGTCTCATTGTAAGATATTTCTTTATTTTTTGAAGGCAAATGTATCTGGCTCCCACAGCAATGAGGTGTTATCTGAGTATTACTATTGAATTGTTTTTTCGGGAATAACAGCTGAGGAAATTGTGGTCATATATAATAAATCATGTATCAAAGAAAATAAATCCTGCTTTTATTAATTTTGCAATGGAGTCTCTCTCTCTCTCTCTCTCTCTCTCTCTCTCTCTCTCCTTTTCACTTGTTTTATGCCATTTTTCAACACATGGGGCCAAACTCATTCCAGTGCTAAGATTAGAACAAGATTGCAGCAATTTATGTCATCCTGAGCCTGGTGTCTGCTGTGGTCCAATGCAGCTACTATTGCAAACGAGGGCAGCCCTAAATTTCCTCCTAGCTGCCGTTAGTGATCAATGGCTCGATGTCTGGTTAGCAGTCGGTAACAAGTGGAGTGCCCCAAGCGTCGGTTCTAGGGCCAGTTTTATTCAACATCTGTATTAATGACCTGGATGAGGGGATGGATTGCACTCTCAGCAAGTTCGCGGGTGACATTAAGCTAGAGGGAGAGGTAGATATGTTGGAGGGCCGGGATAGGGTCCAGAGTGACCTAGACAAATTGGAGGATTGAGCCAAAAGAAACCTGATAAGGTTCAACAAGGACAAGGGCAGAGTCCTGCACTAGGGACAGAAGAATCCCAAGCACTGTTACAGGCTGGGGACTGATTGACTAAGCCGCAGTTCAGCAGAAAAGGACCTGGATATTACACTGGATGAGAAGCTGGATATGAGTCAACATATCCAGAATGCTAATGGCATATTAGGGTGATTAGGATGCATTAGGAGGAGCATTGTCAGTAGCACTAAAGAAGTGAGTATTCCCCTTTATTCAGCACTGGTGAGGCCCCAGTATTGTATCGAGTTCTGGCCCCCCCCATTACAGAAAGGATATGGATGCATTGGAGAAAATCCAGCAGAGGGCAACCAAAATGAATAAGGGACTGGAGCATATGACTTACAAGGAGAGGCTGAGGGATTTAGGCTTGTTTAGTCTACAAAAGAGAAAGGTGAAGGGAGATTTGATAGCAGCCTTCAGCTACCTGAAGCGGGGTTCCAAATGGTATGGAGAGAGGCTGTTCTCAGTAGTGACAGATGGCAGAACAAGGAGCAATGGTCTTAAGTTGAAGTGGGGGAGGTCTAGGTTGGATATCACGGAAAACTATTTCACTGGGAGGGTGGGGAAGCACTAGGGAGGTGGTAGAATCTCCATCCCTAGAGGTTCTTAAGTATCGGCTTGACAAAGCCCTGGCTGGGTTGATTTAGTTGGGATTGGTCCTGCTTTGGGCAGCAGGCTGGACTTGATGACCTCCTGAGGTCTCATCCAACCCTATTATTCTGTATCCCTCTATGTGATTCCTCAAGAGTGTAGGCTTCCAGAGTTTTAGCCACCACCCAGCTTGGGAAGAGACCTACATCTCTCTACATCCAGACCAGGATTTTTCCAGTTGTGCTGTTCCTTGCTTGTACTAAGCTATGCTCAGCAAGCCAGAACTGACTAAATAAGCTAGAACCTGCCTTTTACTGACTCTTTGAACAGCTGTAAATGACAGCAATTATGAGTGACCAGACAGGTATTTAAAATGAGTACTTTATTTTTAAAATCACCTCTGGAAGTATTACAGAGAAAACATTTGAAAACAATGAAAGTTTACCTGAGGTAATGCACGCTAAAGAGCTTCATAGACACCTCAACTCCAACCGTGGCATCAGTCCTTCCAAACCTACATTTGCCGTTTTTCCTGTGGCTGCTAGTTCATAACTGTTTCCGCTTCAGAACCAGAACAAGCATGAGTAGTTCAGCCTTTCCTTTATTCAGCTTGGGTCTTTGATATTGACCTTAGGTCCTCAGGATATAGCTTCAAAAGGCTTTTGCATAATCAGAGGTGGGGAATTTGTATTCACCTCTCCTAGATATTTCTCAGGAAGTCCACTTCATGCATATTGTCTCCAGATACTATTTTTGTCCTGCATGTTGCCCAATATAGTCCTTTGATCATCCAGGCCTTGCATCACGTCTCCCTACTAGAGAAGTTACCTATGATCTTGGCCCAAAAACCTCTGTATCAATCACATATACAATTTATGAATTTTGTGCGTGATTATGAGAGCTCTGTATTATGAGCACTCTCCTTACCAAGCTGCAAACTTCATTTTGAATGTGCAGCTTTTTGTCCTCTCTGTTGTCCTTTTATCTCCATGTATTGGCCTGAAATTCCACAAGTGCAGTGGCAAAGGCCTAATCACAGAGGGTCATTAAATAGGGGTGGTCTTAAATTCCAAAAGGAAACACCCCGGACAAAAGACTGGAGAACTGATTTGTGAGGGGAGAGCTCATCTGATAACAAAGTTGCTTGGTAGGATCCTAAGGCTCAGGCTGTTAACACCCTAAAGCTGACTAGGAAGTCAGGAGCTGCTCTGTTTGGAGTTTGATGGTTATTTTCACTAACACAGGATGAGGTAAACTACTGCAAGAGCCTAATGAGGCAGAGGGACTCTGCCAATCTGAACACATGGCCCAAGGGGCATGACTGACAGAACTGGGTTTAAAAGCATCAGAGGGACAGCCATGTCAATCTGTAACTGAAAAAACTTTAAAAAACAATGAATGGTCCTGGTGGCAACTCCTCCTAGAGGGCCAGGACAGCACTCCCCTGCCAGCATCCCACCCAGATGCCCTCCCCTGCAGCCTGCACTCTGCCAATCTGAACACATGGCCCAAGGGGCATGACTGACAGAACTGGGTTTAAAAGCATCAGAGGGACAGCCATGTCAATCTGTAACTGAAAAAACTTTAAAAAACAATGAATGGTCCTGGTGGCAACTCCTCCTAGAGGGCCAGGACAGCACTCCCCTGCCAGCATCCCACCCAGATGCCCTCCCCTGCAGCCTGCAGGCACTCCTGCGTCCTCTACCCCCATGGTCTGCAGGCTATCTGCGTGGGGGGGCAAAGCTCCGGGGGCTGCCCCCTCTGCAGCTCTCCCCCCCCCCCCCCCGATTAATTGGATATTCAGTACAGATTGCATTGTCCAGACTGCAGGCTGTGTGGGGAGGCACTAAGCTCCAGGGACTGCTCCCTCCTCTAGCAGCCCCCCATGTCGGCAGGCTCTCTGGGGTGGGCGGAGAGGGCAGGCTCCAGGTTTCATGCAAGTGGGCTCCTTACTGGTATGTTTGCAGGCGAGATGGCAGAGCCTGAGCCTTGCTGGCCACTCTCTTGGTGCTGCAGCTGCTCCCAGTAGCCACAGAGGGTGTGTCTAGACTACAGGGTTTTTTTTGTTTTTTTTTTAAAGTGGCCTTTTTTTGAAAAAAACTTCCCTTCTGTCTAGACTGCTGCCAAATTCTTTCAAAATTAAATCAAAAGAACATGGCTGGTTTTTTGACCGCGGTAAACCTCATTTTACGAGAAAGAATGCCTTTTTTTGAAAGAGCTCTTTCGAAAAAAGGCATTCTTGAATGCAAACAGGGCTTTTTCAAAAGAGAGCATCCAGACTGTTGCAGACGTGGTTGCAGTCTAGATGCTATCTTTCGAAAGAAGCTTGTTGTCTAGATCTAGCCTCTCAGCATTGCGTCTCTCCCCTCTCAATGCCCCTCCCTTTTTCATTCCTTCTCTCTTTGCCCCCTTCCTTCCCGTGTTATGGGAAATAGTCCGATTCCCAGCACTTCCTGTTTTCCAGGCACAACCAAACCCTGAGCTTGGTTTAAGTTACAGCAAGAGGAAACTGCATACCAAAATAGGTGATCCCAGCTCTTATGGTTTAGGAGCAGTTCTTGAACAAATAGACAAACAGACGCACAGACAGGTGGACTCACAGACAGACAGACACCCTCTAATATCCATCGATAGAGATAGAGATAGATTTGA